AAAAAAAAAAAAAAAAAAATTTTAAGTACTTTAAGTTTCTTATTCCCTTCAAATTTGGTTCAATAATAGGATTTCACATTCTTTTACGTCTATAAATGGACCCTAAAAAGAGGTAGGTCCTACAAAAGAATTTTATAACAACTGAAAGGGCACAATAACTAGGCCCACTGCAATAACCAAATACGTATTAAAAATATCCTACAAGAATAAGGTCCTTTAAAAAGATCGTAACACCGATAAGGTTTCGTAAAAGAATGTTTACATGAATTATGTCCTGTAAAAAGGTCTCATTCACCTACAACGGAACTTTTAAAAAAGCCAGGTTTAGTAAAAGTGATTCAATCTTTCTACCACGATATATTTCTGTTTTTTATTAACATGTCGTACTGTTACGTAAACTCTTATATCACTTACGACGGGTTACCGTGTAAAACAAAATGACATTTTACCAGCAATATTTGTTAAGATTCTAACAAATGGATACCCCCGAGGATAATAGCATTGGTATTAATATATAACAAAATAAAATTCAACGTTTATCACACACAGTTTAGTGGTAGCTAGTATAGCTTAATAAAGAAAGGATCCTTTAAAGGATCAGACCATTACAGAAATAAGCATTGCAAGTTTTTAACTTTCAAGTCCTAGTAACATGCAACTGGCAAACAGCTAGGTTGCAAACACTATCTTGGACATTCCTAATATAACATATGAAGCTTTTTTAGTCTTTTAAGTTTACACAGACTATACCATAACTTTTGAAACGTAACAAAGCAACATGCAAGTTAACACCAAACTAATATCCAGAACTGCTCTGAGCAGCAACTACTTGAAAAACAATAACAAACTGAACTGGAATAGTTTCCAGCATTGTTTAACCTTAGAAATAGTTTTTAAGTCAATAAAAACACTATCAGTCACCAGTGACTTAGAATTATGTTCAAACCCAAGTTAGCAGAATTAAAAAAAAAGTTTTAAACTTTTGACCTCTTAATTTCTCTTTGTTATCAATACAGATTAGAATAAAACAACAGAAAATGTTTTTTTGTTTTCAACGCATGTCTAACACAATTTGTTATTCTTGACTCAGACTCTAACTTAGGAAGTTGAATCAAGAAGATAACACTAGTCATCAATAATTTCATTCCCTACTGGTTAAATATTAAACTTTAATGTTTAAAACATAGTTACTTCAGGATAGGCTGCTTTTTTATTCCTTGTTTCCTGGAGAAAAAAGATTGTACAGTAAAACCTTTTAATCAAACAGTTCTTAGCAAATTATCAATGTCACCATTTCAAATTGTCTTTTTCAGAGTACAACAAAAAAAAAAAGATATGTTTAATCCTCATTGTAGCTATGTCCAAATTTGATAAACAATGGCTGTACAAAAATTTATCAAGTGTATTTAAATACTTACTGAAGGTGGTGGTGTGTACCTTCCAGCCAAAAATGGTTGTTCCTCTCGATTAGATGAACTACTACTCCTGTATAAAAACAAGTTTTTAGCGATTAGAAGATAAGCAAGAGCCCACAGCCACAGGTTTCCAGTCATAGCTGAACTAACCAGACAGCTCTGGGAATTGTTAAATTAATTTTAACATCTGTAAGTACTAAGAGATCTACATATTTTCATCACCTAGCAACAAAATTATTTGATTAAGTATGGAAGGAGACTATTTTTTGAAAACTGATTCTTTATTTTTGATTATCAGAATGTACATCAAAGTACCCACTATATGACAATGAGAGGGCAGAAATACTAATGAACTGACTACAGGCACATCTTCAGAAAGGTTACAACATAGAAACCAATCACCTATTTAACTACAGTAAGGCCATTATCAACCAGAAACCAATCACCTATTTAACTACAGTAAGGCCATTATCAACCAGAAACCAACCACTAATTGCCAACTAATCTATTGTCAATTAAAGGTGAGTACAAGGAATTTACCAACTAGTATAAATAATCAACTACTTGACTGAAGATCAGCCAGTAAGAATGTCATTATCTACCAACTGATTATAGCTATTTGGCTGAGGGAGCTTGCAGTCATTGTGTAACAACCAATCAACTGTTTCACAACTAATCCTCTCCAAGGGTGATTATATAAGGAATTTGTCAACTAGCAACTGATTAATTAATTGGCTGAGTGAGTTAATAGTCATCCCATAGCAACCAATCAACTGTTTCACAACTAATCCTCTCCAAGGGTGATTATATAAGGAATTTGTCAACTAGCAACTGATTAATTAATTGGCTGAGTGAGTTAATAGTCATCCCATAGCAACCAATCGACTGTTTGACAACTGATCCATTTCTCTCCAGGGGTGGTTATGTAAAGAATTTGTCATCTAGCAACCAATTAACCACTTATTTAAGGGAGAATCATCAAGAACATCATCAACTAAAACAACTCCTTTGTTTGGATGTTAATCCATTTCAGAGTAAGTTAGAATACAAGAAATTTATCATCATACAAATAGTTAATCCAGAATTTGGCTTAGGAAGTAAAAAAAAAAATTTACTAACCAACAATACAGCCTACTGTTTAACTAAAGGTGACAACAATACACACTACTGTTTAACTGAAGGTGACAACAATATACACTACTGTTTAACTGAAGGTGACAACAATACACACTACTATTTAACTGAATGTGACAGCATTAAACACTACTATTTAACTGAATGTGACAGCATTAAACACTACTATTTAACTGCAGGTAACAACAATACACACTACTATTTAACTGAAAATGAAAACAATACACACTACTGTTTAACTAAAGGTGACAACAATACACACTACTGTTTAACTGAAGGTGACAACAATACACACTACTATTTAACTGAAAATGAAAACAATACACACTACTATTTAACTGAAAATGAAAACAATACACACTACTGTTTAACTAAAGGTGACAACAATACACACTACTGTTTAACTGAAGGTGACAACAATACACACTACTATTTAACTGAAGGTGACAACAATACACACTACTGTTTAACTGAAGGTGACAACAATACACACTATTGTTTAACTGAAGGTGACAACAATACACAGTCTTGTTTAACTGAAGGTGACAACAATACACACTA